AAGTTAACAGAGAAGATGACCACACTTTTGCTTCAGAAAGAATAATTTGAATATCCAAGAGCTGAGACCCTTGGGGGAAACAGATGATGCCCTCTAACATTTTTACAAAACGATCCTCCTTTGGATTAGGCTGTAAAAGTCAATTATGAAATAGAGCATGTTGTAATGTGCATAGGGGAGAAAAGGTGTCTTTTTCACACTTACCATGAGGTTCATGGCTAACATGCCTTTAACAAAAGACTGGAGCGGAAGAAAAGCATAAGCAATTAATCTAATCAAAGCTTTACATGATGCATGAGTCTTCAGAAATGAAGGCCCAAAGATCTAGGAAAAACTGAATTTATGCTTAGGTTTGATGAAGAATAGACAGTCATGTGGAAGTATGATTAGATAAAAGGGATGTTATGGTTTGGATGTGAGGTGTCCCCCAAAAGTTCACAGGTGAGACAATGCAAGAAGGTTCAGAGGAGAAATGATTGGGTTGTCAGAGTTTTAACCCCAATCATTAAATGAATCCCCTGATAGGGGTAACTGAAGTGGTAGGGTGTGGCTGGAGGAGGTGGGAATTGGGGGCGTGGCTCTGGGATATTTGTATCTGGTGAGTGGAGTGTCTCTCTCTCTCTCTCTCTCTCTCATCTTACTGATCATCATGTGAGCTGCTTTCCTCTACCACACTCTTCCTCCATCATGTTCAGCCTCACCTTGAGCCCTGAGAAATGGAGCCGGCCTTCTATGGACTAAGACCTCTGAAACTTGTGAGCCCTCAAATAAACTTTTCCTCTTCTAACTTTGTTCTGGTCGGGTCTTTTAGTCACAGCAGTGAAGAAGCTGAGTGAAACAGCGGGCATGACCTGATGGTAACAAACCAGGGGACAGTTAGCGAGTTCTGTTTACTCAGATTCTTTTTGGCCTCTCTGGGTATGGGGCAGGACTCCTGTCATTTGAGGATCTTCAGGGGAGAAGTGGGAAGTCAGAGAATGACCTTTTAGTCTTTTGGCTCACTTCAGAGGTGAGGAATTCTAGTTTCTGTGACCCTCTTTGTGGGAGTAAAGGAGAGACAGGGGAAGGCCAGAAAAGTCTTCTTGCTTCTGTGGCTCTCCCAGTCTCCTTCAACTCAAAATACTCAGCATACCAAGGTATCATGCTTTGAGGTGTATTGTTCTGAACCCCGGCAGGGGCTTCACATTTTGCAGGCAAAATTAAGCCTACTGCAATTTTTTAAATTTCCTCCTCCTCCTCCTCCTCCTCCTCCTCCTCCTCCTCTTTTTCTCTTGAAGATGAACAGAATGCCTTTATTTTATTTGTTTATTTTTATATGATGCTGAAAATCGAACCCAGTGCCTCACGCATGCTAGGCAAGCACTCTGCCACTGAGCCCCAGCCCTACAGCAATTTTCTTGATTCACTATTTATTCATTCTGCAATTAGCACATCGTTTTACTTTAAACATAAATTTTGTTCAATATAGTGTAGAATAATGCTTAATAACACTGAGTTTTATTGTCCAATAAAGTTCCAAGCAAACTTCTTTCACTAATTGCTCTAAAATTTGGTTCCTGTTTTAAATAGGTTTCCTTTGAGGAGACTTTACCAGTACTCTCACATCAGGATAATAGTAGCCTCTGTAGCAATGAAGCACAACTTTGTTGTTGCTAACAATCTGATGACTTGGTTGTGTGTATTTACATATTAAATTTTTTCTATTTTATTTTTAAACTATCCTCCTGAGTTCTTAGGGGGTATTATTTATTCTTAGGTGTTTCCTATTGGATTACTTCCAAAAGGTGATATGATTAGAATATGATCATCAGTGTCTCCCAAGGCAATACTTGTACAGGACACATACTTTGCAATCAACCTGGAGGCAGACCCATATTTTGAATTTGCTTCAGCTACCTAACGGACATATGGTAATGGGTAAATTACATGTGCTCTCTGAACTTCAGAATCTTCACCTGTAAAAACGGACCACCAATAGCTCCCTTACATGATAGTGGTGAAGATCTGATATGAATATGTGCAAGATGCTGGGAACTGAGAAGGCATTCAATTTGCAGCAGTTATAATTGTGTACTTTATTTTTGGTTTGCTTGACTGCCAAAGTTTTTTGTGATCTTAATTTGTTGGTTATTTTGTATATTTGGATAATTTGCATGTGTTTTGCAACAAGAACCTAGGGTCTCTAGGATATATATAGTAGCTAAATACAAGGAATATTGAAAATGTATGTACTCTTTGGAACACCTTGTTGCATACATCTCTTAGAATGAATTTTGAAACATTCTATAATGCTTTCAAAAAAACTTCATAATGAGACTTGCATGATTTACTTTGTGAAATTTTGGTTGAGTTCCCCCCACCCCTTTGGTAAGTTGGGTGGTTGATAGCTACTCAATGGCAGTTCCCCAACCTCACCCAATTTTTATAAACATTTTGTCTTAAAGCCAAGAAACTCAATCTTTCACTATGCAGAATCCAGTTCAGAGCAGTCGTGGAAGTCGGTTGATACTGTATTGGAACCACTTGCCTGCTCATTTCCTGGTTGTATGAACTTGACAAACTTATTTAATGTTTCCTAGTCTGGGTATCTTTATCCAAGAGGTTTGGAATAATGTAAATGCCTACCCTTTGGGGATGTTCTGAGGATTAAATGAGACATAGCATATGGAACATTTAGGTACACACAGTAAGTGCTTAATAAATGGTACTAGTATTTATAAAGTCTTGAAACTCACAAGTTAATAAATGTCATACTTTTTAAAAAAATGTTAATATTGTAACAAAATAAAAAACTTAATTTCCTTGAGTCACAAACACCAAATTATATGCTTTGGTGTTGACTTGCCTTTTTCCCTGTATCTAAGTTCATTTCATTTCCCTGTAACTCAGAAACATATCTTCTACCCCAGTGCCTCTCAATGGCTTCCTGCTAAGTGCACCCTGGTCTTCCAAAGATAGCATGGGGTGGGGAGGATAAGAAGGCAAGATCTTACAACAAATTAGCAAGGGATTTCTGCTTTCTCTCTATCTGGATGATTCTGGCATGTTCCCCATGGGGCCTATTAGTTCATATGTTATTTAGTACACTTAGCTAAAGTCTGGAGGCAATGATAGTAACACCTAGTATTCACCTAGTAGTGCCAGATGCTATGCTAGGTGAGTCACAAATGTCATTTTGACTCTTGATAACAACTGGCCAAGACACATATCAGTATTCCTGTTTCTGAGACCGTAGGCAGAAGCTTTGACCCAGTAATTCACTGAAAGTCATGCAGCTAGTGAGTGGCAGCACATTCCATGCATCTACCTTAGAGTAAATGTGCCAATTATACAATGAATGCTGTAAATACGACCAGCAGAATTCCAGACATTAACAAGTGAATAAACTATCCCTTCTTCAATTCCAGTAATTTGTTTAATTCCCCCTGGAACTATATTTCAAGTTGTGCTTGTTCCACAAAACAATCTTTCAAATATTGTGATATGGAGGCCCTCATGGTCAAAGGCAGGGAAAGGTGAAGAAGGCGATCAAGGTAAGTCTATTTTTTCCACTAAAGGCACAAGGAAGTTTCTCATCTCTTAAGTGCTGAATTCTGCAATCATCTCAAAAGTAGAAGTTCAGCTAGCAGTACATTTTGGAGAAGCTTGAACCACACTAACCATTTAAGGTCAAGCAAACAATTGGTCAACTCAAACAACACGTACTGTGCAGGGGTTTTATCTTAGAGATAACAGAATCTATCTCTATATCCCAGCTCCAGAAAACAATCGGGTTCCTCAGCTTCCCATCCTCGCTCTGCATAGACCCCCTCGCCAAAGCCATACGGTAAGCCTCACATAAAGACCCTTTAGCAAGCTGCCAGTCCCCAGCCAGGGGCGGGGGGGCAGGTCTAGGCTGGCTCCCGCTCTTCTCTTTAACGCCCACTCAAGGGCAGGCACGTTTTCAATCTACTCTAGCTGGGCATCAGGAGCAGGGTCTCGGACTGGGGTCAGAAGAAACACGCGGGAGGGCGGTGTCGGCCGCGCGCACCGCGGCGCGCGGGTCGGGGCGGGGACTGCGCACCGCGCCGGGGCGGGCGCAGGCCGCTCTCTCTGTGCTGCTCCCCTTTGTTCTCTGCCATTGTGAGGCACTTCCTCCTCCGGAGCTGCTTCTCTGTAGCCTGGGATCCTGTGGGGAATTCGTTAAGGGGCTTTTGGTGCTTTTTTATTTTTATTTTTTTTTGTTTACTTTGTAGTACGTGACACTACCCCTTTGCATCGCTTTCCCTCGCGGCCCCTCGTCCGGTGCCTGCGAGGGAGGCAGAGTGCAAAGTGTCACTTTCTCCTTGACAGCTTCTCCCCGGCTCTCCTCCCTTTTCCTCCTCCAGGAGGCATCCTAACCCAGCACTCTGGACTGGCACCTCCTGACCGGCCGCCTCAACGCCACAGTGGCGACACGGACCCCCCCCCCCCTCCGAGGGGCTAAGGCTCCCGTCACCAAGGGGCTTCGCTGGGCAGCCTAGCGAGGGTCGGAGGCCGGCGCGGGGCCCGAGTGCGGCCGCCTCGGCATCCCGGGAGCCGGCGCGAGCGTCGCCACGGCCCTCCCCGGCGCTCATGCTCCCAGGCCGCCTGGCGGCCGCCTCAGCCCCCTTATATAGCCCTCTAAAAATAGCTCGCCTCGCACCGCCTTGTATGGCAGCAGGGAGATCCGCTGCGGGCCAATCCGCGCGGGCCGTCAGGGCCAAGCCCCGCCCCGGGGCCCGCTCCGAGCTCCCTATTGGTCCTCAGTGACTTCATGAGCCCCCTGTTTACCTTACATGGTCACACGCGGCCTAATGGATGCCCTCCTCCGAGATCCCACGGCTGCGCGGAGAGCCGGGAGGAGGGAGGGAGTTTGGGGAGGGGGAAGAGCAGGAGGAGGAGAAAGGGTTGGGAGGGGGGAGGAAGACTACAAACTAGCAAGGATGGGTGGGGGGTGGGGAGGGTAGGGAAGGGAAGGGGTGAGGGGGAGAGAAGCGATCGCGAGAAAAAAAAAAAATGCAACCTCCCAAAATAAAGAGCAAAGATTGCATTAGGAGCGAACAGCGCTGCAGAAATAGATGGCAGCTTCGTGTCAGTGAGTTTGCATCCCCTTCCTGATCCACGAGCTGGAGTGATTAGAGCCCTGGAAGGGAATTGTTACTCCCGTGAAGTCCCCTTTTCCTGGCAGTCATCTGCACTGTACACGCTGGATGCCTCTCTCCATCCACCCCACTCACTCTCTCCTCTCTCACCTCCTCTCTCCCTGTCTCCTGCATTGATTTTTTTTTTCTTTTTAGTTGACTGAAACAAAACAAAACAAAAGGGCCACTGGATGTCTGCCTTCTTGGGGGGTGAGCCAGACAGACTGACAAACAAACAGACCCAACTGTGCTCGGGGGAGGGTTTCTCCTCCCGTTTTGCCCGGCAGCAGCAGCATGGACGTGTTGGCTAGTTATAGTATATTCCAGGAGCTACAACTTGTCCACGACACCGGCTACTTCTCAGCTTTGCCATCCCTGGAGGAGACCTGGCAGCAGGTGAATGATTTAAATTACTTGTGTAAATCGTGTGGTGGCGGCGGAGACGCAGGGGCTGCGTTGGTGTGGGCTCTGGGTTGAAATTTTTTTTGTTTGTTTTATGTTTTTTTTTTTTTTCCTTTTTGGCTGTATGTTGTTTAAAATGTTTTCTTAAAGAGTCATATGCGCTTACCTCTCCACCCACCCCTAACCCCTTAGTGTGCCGAGCTGAGCAGCCGGTCCGAGCTGCCTGTGTTTCAGTCACCAACACACATCCTTGCGCACACCCCTGTCCCCCAGCGGAGACCTGCCGAACTTTTGGGGTTCGGAGGAGCCGGGTGGGGAGGTGGTTTCGGGCTTTAGAAGCGATCGCTGACAGTATACCACATCTCTACATCCACGGAGCTCTACCTGTTTGGTACCTTAAATCAGGTTCATCTATTTCAACTGCTGCTGACGACTGTCAGATGGGGTGGGGGGAGCAAAGCGGAGTGTTTTCCCAGTAATTAGCGAGTGTCAATAAAGAACAGGAGCTTGATTTTGAGATTAGAATGTGGACCTAGGGAGAGGAGCCCAGTGACAAAAGGTACTCAAGGATATCTACAAGGAGGACGGGAAGATGTGTCTATCTTAGGCTGACAATTCCTTGTAGGTTTCCCCAGTGTAATGCCTCTAAGGAAAAAAAAAAAAAAAAAAAAAAAAAAAAAACCAAAAACACCCTCTACATGTGTCCTTGTTTCTCTTTTTTTGTTTGGGGTCCCTCTCCAGTTAGATAGCAAAACCTCAGACAAAGGGTGGTGTGTGCTTCCACGCCTCTGACTTTGTCTTGGAGGACTAGTTAAGAAACTCCTAGGATGCTGAAGGGCACCCGTGCCAAGTTGGCTCTGTGTCCCAGGGAGGATGAAGCAGGGCTAGGGATAAGTTCACTGGGCTTTGTGAAGTGGAATAAAGAAAATGCTGGTCAGTGGAAAGTGCTGGGTCTACTGCAAAAAAAGTGTTTTTTTTTTTTTCTTTTCTTTTCCCCCAGCAGGGATTAGAAGCTGCTGAGGGGACATTCTGCAGGAAAGATGGTGGGGGGTGGGGGGGGGGGGACAGATGGGTATTTAAAAACCCAACAATATGCACCATGGAAAGTCCAAGAAGATGGTCTGGATTTGCACATCGAAAGTGTGAACTTGTCCAGTCCGTCCTGGAGACACCCACTTGCCCTTGAGAGAGGCTTGGTGTGTGGCTGCTCTTGTAACTTCTCTGCTCAGTGACAGCAGCTTGTTAAGGCTAATGAACGGCTGAATTTCCTCTGCCAGGATCCAAAGCAGGATTTGCCAGCTTGAGGCTGCGATGTAACAGTTGCTGCTTTAGTGAGAGAGGTTTGGCTTTTGGTATGAGTAGCCCAATGGTAAAGCTGATCCTCTGACTGTACCATTGTTATTAGTTGTTGTTCTCTGGTTAGAAGCTGCAAGATTTCCTTCAGGTGTTGGCCTTTGGTGTCTGTGTGTCCTCACATGCATTCCTGTCTGAAGATGCTGGCAGATACTCTCTACTCTGTCTAAATACATGCACAGTTCACACATTTGTAGCATAAAGCATTTCTTCATTGCCTTCTTTCCCTTGTTCTTAACAAGATTTTATCTCATGAAGGATCTCACTGGATCTTTTTCCTTCTTTTATTTTGCATGCTAATTAACTAAAATGTTGCCAGAATTTCGTTTTCTAAATCGCCTTCATTTCACACTATCAGCTCATTGGTGTCGAATCAGTTGCATATTAACGACTGTCTAGACAGGTTAGGGAAGGGAATCTGTTGATTTAGTCAGCTTGCCCAAGGCAGCCCTTGTTTGTGACTGTTAAGCAGTGTTGGAGGGAAGAAAGTTGGCTTTATTTGTTAGAACGTTCCCTCCTGATGAATCACACAACTTTGTTTTGGTTCAAGTTTTCGCAGTAGTAAAGCCTGCTTTGGGGGAAGGCCTCTCCAGAGGAAACCTGCTTTTCTAGATCTGGCTAGACCCTCCAGGAGAAACTCTAGATCTGCAAAGAAACATCAGTGGCCTGACAATTAGGGGATAGATTAGCTCTATTGTCTCCTCTGAAGCCAGCTCTGCTCTCCCTTCTCTCCTCCTCCTCCCTTCCCTTCCTCCCCCTTCAAGGAACCTCTAGCTTAGTTTCTATCTGCAGGCAAAGGAATTCTCGTCCCTCTGAACCCCTTCCTTATTTTTTACCTTAACTCCCTCCAACTGCTCTCATTCTCAAACCTTTTACCAAATTATTTCGGAGGCTTGCTCATAGTCTGTACAGAAACATAAGTTGTGGGTGAGCAATTATAAACAAGGTACCACTCCATGACTGCTCTGCAGCCACAACTGCTCTCTCTATATAAAGGTAACTAGGACCCTAAGTTCACATTGATGACAACATCTCTAGCCTCCATCACCATCTCTTCCTTCCTTCCCCTCTCTGAACCCCCTTACTGCTAAGTGGGGGGAGTGATTATATGCAAGTCTTGGTTCCAAATCAACCATCAGATGGTGAAATTTTGAGACTCCTTTGCTCAAAACAGCTTGAGAAGGTTGCTGCAAAGAACCCCAGGCAGGAGGAAGTTTCCTGATGCTGTGGGGTAATCAGATTTTAGAGGTCAAATGAGGAGTAATTATTAGATGTTCTTCTTAAAGTGAGCAGTGTACCTGGCCTCGGGGAGAGGAGCGAAATACTGAGATCCACATAATCTGATTTGGTTTCTAGAGGAAAGAGTGTCTAGGATGATAAACCCAAGAACATTTGTGCATTTGTAATTGAGGATGGACTATTTGGGGGATTTTATTTCAAACTTATGAAATAGGATAATTTCCTGTGTCAATGAGCCCGTGACAAAGTCCCGGACTATGACAGGGCCACCTCCTGTCTTGGAGATCATTATCATTTTGACATTGGATTTTCAGGCAGTGATGCTGTAGCTGCATACTGCTCCAACTCTGAAAAATCATTGCTGGTATAATTTAAAAACCCAAATGGACATCCCACATTAACAGCTCTCCATTCCTGGGCTCTGACTGCATACTTAAGCACTTGGCCCAAGTAACATCATCTCTCCCTGTCATATAACTGTAAATTACACTGTGCTTATGTGGTCTATTATTTTATGGAATTCAGCTGACACAACTCTTAAGGCTACCAGCCTTAAGCTCTTTGGAAACTTGCAGGAAAATTTCCAAGAGCTGTCTGAGCAAAAGTAGGAAAAAGTCAAGGGTAGGACAGAAGCTGGAGGAGATTATAGGGTATAATTTGATGGCAGATAAAGGGAGACCCATTCATGACTTTTATTGCCAATAGAATAAAAAGGATTTGACACAATACTTTTTTTTTTTTTTGCAGACTATTTAAAAGACTTCTAGACTTTTATTTATTCATTATACCTAGCTGGCTATTCCCTGAGTACAAGTCAAGTAATGATGCTCTAGGTCTTACCTGGACTTCACTTTGCTTCATGTCATTGAGGGGCATGGATGGCATGTTTACTTGAAATCTCTTCTGCATTTATGTTCATTGTTAATGCTGATTCATAATTGGCAGATGGGGTCAGTTTCAGGCCTCCCTTTTGCTTGGAGAAAATTTTCCACTGCTACTGGAAACAAATAAATAAATCATAGAACATTCTTGTCCTCCTCCTCCATTCCCCCATTGTTTTAATCTAATGGCATACTTGGCCACTGTAAGGACTAAAGTGTCCCCATAACACTGCAATTTCATCTTGGTTTCAGGCACCCTGAAACACTTTTTATGAGGGCCTTTGGTAGGAGGCATCTCTAGGGGAAAACCTACAGAAAGAAATCCTTGCCTTCCAAGAATAGCCTCCTGGTACCAGGGATGGGATTTAGTCTATGACTAACATTTCCTTTCCCTTTGTATGATCTTACCTTTGCCTGCCTTCTCCAGGCCTAAACACCTAGGTACTTTCTCAGGCAGAAAAACAAAGCAAACGGTAGGATCTGTCCATCCGCAGGTTTGCCACTGTCCCCAATTTGCAGAAAACCTTGTCATGAATTAGAATTTCTTGGCAACAGCACCACCCTGAGAAATTTGTAGACACAAAGGAGCCTTAGTAACCATGCTGAAAGGATAAAATAGCTGGCTTTTAAAAATATATTTAATTTGTGCATTCTTACTAACTGTAAATCTGTTTCTTTATTCAAAACAGTGTCTTGGTGGATTAAAAAAAATTAGAATTTCCCCTGTTAATCCAGATTTTGCTTTATGAGGATGCAATCACTAAATAAATGTAGTTTTAAAAATGAAAGCACATGTGAAGGCAATCAATCACACACTTAGCCTTTCTTTAATAAATTCATTTTCATGTTCTTTTAATAGATACATCTTTGTGTGGATTTAGGGGCTCTCAATCATTATTGTTCAGTCTACCTGTTTGAAATTTAGTATTTTAGAGTGGATGAAGATTTCAATGCAGATATTTTTACTTCATCTGTCCTGAATAGGGGGAAAAGGAAACCACTATTCTTTGTTCTCCATGAATCTCCCACCCCCACTCCCTACCCTGAGGAGAATGGGATATTGGGGTCCCATCCATTTAAAAGGCAGAGCAGAAGATGCAGGGTGACAGCTTTGCCCTGAAATGATTTATGGATGGGCATATCAGAGACCTTAAGTGTTCAAATGTGGGCTCTTCCTCTCTCTCAGCCCATTCTAAATATAAATGCCTATGGGGGCTAATTTGCCTCTCCACTTAAATGGGATAGTTTAGAGAGGGTCAAAATGGGGTTTTAAAATAGCCATTCTCTTATAAGTCTTCAAATTCTCCTTTCAGAGAATTCCCGTATTTTAACTTTTTTAGTACAGGCATTGTAGTCATCTTTCATCACTTTGTGCTTATTAGAGAAAGAAGAATATAGCTTACTCGAGCCAGTCACAGTGTCTCCTGTGAGATAGGACAGGTGCTCGGATAGCTGCCTGGTTTGTAGATGCCCCCATCTTTGCAGTTTGTAGTACTCTGGGACAGGTTTTTAATCACCTAT